CTTCAGCCTCTCAAGTGCTAAGATTACAGGTGGCACACCTGGCTTCAAATACAATTTTGAGATACTGGAGGAGGTTAATTCACAAACTTTGGCATCCTAGAGACAGAGCTTCAAATTATAACTTTTGCTGTGTGACTTTAAGAGAGGTAAGTCATTTAAACTCTCTGAGCCTCAGTTTGTTAGTGTTATGGTTGATACATTGTGTCAACTTGGGGAATCTAGAGGTTTGGTTAAGAGACTCAGCAGTTTGCCTCTTGGGGTGAAAAGGACATGCCCTCACCCTTCTGGGATGTTGTTTATTGTGTTAATTTGAGAAGTTTAGAAGGTTAGCTATGCAACTCAGAAGGGGTCCAGGGTGCTTACTTTGTATTCATCCTGAGCCTGTGCAAGAGGCAGGCATGCAGAGGTGTGGGTGTGGAGAACCACCCCCACCTCCCCAGAGCAGGTAGACTGCATAAAAAAGGAATTGAGGAAGGACTGGCTGCTGGTTCTTCAGAGGAGCTCCGGTCTTCGCCTTCAGCTTGGTCGTCTCCTGGCTTCTGGTGCAGACTGTTGGGCTTCCGTCTGGACTCTTCAGCCTTCTGGTGTTGGCTCTCTGGCCTTCATCGTAGATTCTTCAGCATTCCGTCGCAGACCCATCAGCCTTTTGATACGGACTTGCAAGGACACTGCAGCGAGCTCCAGGCCCGGGGCTGGGCTCTTCAATCTCCAGCGTGCAGACACCCTCTGCACGCTTCCTCATCCAACTCTGTAGCTGACCCTTGTAAGCCAAACTTGTAATTCCTTGTACATTTGTTTATCTTGTATTATATCTGTTCCTCTAGTAAACCCTGACTGATACAGTTAGTAAAATGGTGATGCTGATGAAACCCATATCACAGGACCAGCATATGGATGAAGTCAGACTATTTACGCAAAAAACTAAATGTTATTCCTGGCCTACAGTAAATGTTACCAATAAAAATGACTTCTGTTATCTTGCTATTTAATTTTCAGGGTTCTAGTGTATGAGCAGGGTGCTTGGGAAATAGATACTTGCTGCTGCCTCCTTTGTCCATGTCAAGCTGAGCTTGGTAGGAAAGGCCATTGTGTCATTAGTGTCATTAGTGCTGTGGAGACTGACATGGCTCCACTTTAACCCCACTGGCCCGGGGCCTACCTGCTCAGACCAGACTCACAGCACTCCATTCCAGATCGGCTCAGTCATTCATCCCAAAACCTCCATCCCAAAATACTCTTCATGCCTTCAGGAGAGAAAAAAAGCAAAGCAGAAAGATGCACAAGCTCATGAGGAGTCAGAGAAATGCAAAGTCAAACCAAAAGGAAGTGCCATTTTACATCCATCCACCCGAATGCCCAAGGCTGATAAGAATGTGAACCAAGAGAACTTTCATACACACTTGGGAGTGTAATTTGGCACAACCCCCTTGTGAGACACTTTGGCAAGATCTGCTGAAATTGAAGCTGCCTGTATCGTATGACTCACCAAGTCCACTCCCAGGTTTGCAGCTACAAAAAGCTCTCCCACAAGAAACCGTGTGCAACAGTGTTCACACCAGCACAGTTCATAATAAGCAAGAACTAAAGAAAAAATAGCCAAGAATATAGCTCAGTGGAATCGCGCCTGCCCGGTAAGCACAAGGTCCCAAGTTCGGTTTCTGGTACCAAAAAAAACTCCGAAAAACCAAAGACATGTGCAACAAGAGAATGGTTAACTAAATTGTTGCTGATTCCTAAAATGAAATATTTGCATAGAACCGTGGATGGATCATGTTAATACGGTAAGTGAAGAAAACAAGTTGCAGAGGAATGTATGCCCTTTCATACTATTTAAATAAAGTAGAAAACACTACTGCATATTGTTTAGAAACACATGCATCTATAGTGCAAGCATAGAGAAATTCAGGGAAGTGAAAAACAGTGAATTTTCACTCAGGAGCTATAGCAGGGAGAGAGATGAAGCTGTGGGGGAGCCCACAGGGGGCTTCAATTACATTGCACAGTATTTTATTTCTTATGCTGGGTGGTAGGGATAGGTGTGTCTGTAATACAATTCTTCAGGCATGAAATAATAATACTTCCAATATGAAATATTTCATAATAATTTTTATAAAAGGCAAAACATTGTAAATGGTCATGATTTAAGCCATTCCATTTTTCTTGAGTCCTGGTTCAGGAAAACAAAGTCCCACTGTTTTTCCCACTGGACCTCTTTGGTGAGCTTCAAAGGAAAAAGAATGTGGTGCCAATTACAAGCCGATAATTCCAGCATGCAGGAGAGGCTGAGGCGGGAGGATCTCTGCTGGTTCAAGGCCACCCTGGGCTACATAGTGAATTCAAGACCAGCCTGAACTATATAGCAAGACCCTGTATCGAAACAAACTAACAAACACCCCCCCCCATAGAAAAGACTGATGCTTTTTTTCTTTTTCTTTTTCTTTTTCTTTTTCTTTTTTTTTTTTTTTTTTTTTTTTTTTGTCTTTTTGACACAGGGTCTCCCTGTGCAGTTCAGGCTGGCCTTGAGCTCACTTTGTACCCCAGGCTGGTCTCGAACTCACAACGATGCTCCTGCCTCAGCCTCCTGAGTCCTGGGATCATAGGTATGCACCACCACACCTGGCTTGATGCTGTTGCTTAAGAAGTTTGTAATAACTGAGAGGTAAACATGAATATAAAAAATATTCAGTGTAGAGAGTGGAGCCTGATCCTACCATCAACACTGGATCCTACACCAGGCATGGTGGCTCTCCCCTGTAATCCCACCACTTGAGAGGCTGAGACAGGAGGATCACCTTGAGTTTGAGGCCAGCATGGGCTACATAGTGAATTCAAGACCAGCTTGAACTACATAGTGAGACCTTATCTCAAAAAAAAAAAAAGTTTAAAAATGAAAATTAAAACATATGACCCTGTTCTGTTCCACAGGGGTAATCTCTATTACCAATATGCTTCCAGGCATTTTTTTCTATTTTGTTTGTTCATTTATTTATTTTTTGAGGCAGGGTTCCACTATGTAGTTCAGACTGGCCTTGAACTCACTTTGTAGCCCAAGCTGTCCTGGAACTCACAGTGATCTTCCTGCCTCAGCCTCCTGAGCTGGAATTACAGGCATGTCACCACAGCCAGCTGCATGTATATTGAAATACAAAGATAGACATATATAGGGTTGTTTTTTTTTAAATACGAGGCAATCTGAGGATAAAAATGTAAATGTACTCCTTGGACACAAGTAAACATTTTAAATACTATTGTATCATGGCAGATTTCCTTTCTACACTGTCAATGTCTCCTAGAGCCTTCTATAGCAATTTTTTGCTCATCATAATCTGCCATCTTCCAGTTTCAGGTATTCCATGTGTCTTGGTTACTTTTCTCTCATTGCTGAGACAAAATACCCGATGCCCAGAATTAAAGGGAGAAAAGGTTTATTTAGGTCACAGTTTGGGGGGGTTTCAGTCCATACTCAGCTGACTCCAAGTCAGAGTGGCACATGGCAGAGGACAACAGTTCGTGGCCTCGGAACACAGCAAAAGCAACAACAGCAAAAGGAAGGAGGGGCAGAGGGAAAAACAAGCCTCTTTCCCTCCCTTACATTGTATGGGAACTACCCTCCCAGGAGTGTAGCACTCACACCCATAGTTCCAGCATTGGACCATGGATCAATCATAAACTCTGGAAGCGTGCCCCATGACTGCAGGAGGCTTTGAGGGGACATCCAGACACAAAACACAACACTATGGTAACTTATCACCTAAATTTTTATGTGTAATCAAACAAGAAATAGATTCCAGATGTAAAATGTAAACATTTAAACAATAAAGAACAGACGATAAAACTCTTTACAGAAGAGTGATCAAGATTTTCTCAACATTGCCGGCTCCCCTCCACATAGGCGCAAGGCGCAAGCACACACCTATAAACTCTTAATACTAATCTCTCCCTGGAGAGAGACTGTGCGATATTTGATATACATCCTTCCAGACTCATTTACTGTCATACAGAAAGAGATATTTGGTTGTGATGTGTGTGGCTGACAATGGACAAATGGCTCCAGACTGTGTATATAATGCTCTACTGCTTCCTCTTAGAGATACAGGCCCATGATAACCATCTCACGCATTCATTTACTGGTATTTATTACATAATGTGCATGATTCAAGGCACACTGTGAAGGCAGACGGGCAGCCTCTCTCCTTGCGCAGCTTACACTCTGGTGGGACAGTCAGAGCACAGCAGGTAGATGAGCGGTGTAACTTCAGGTAGAACAAAGTCATACGATGAACATAAAGTGGGGGTGGGGTGAGGCAGGGTGGAGCCTGTAACTACTGTGCAGTAGTTCACAGTATCGGTTATTGTAGTTTTGGGGAACGACTTTCCAACTTCTCTCCTTGCATCCCGGAGTAAGAACTACATTTCCCACCGCTACCCATCACAGAAACATGCACACCAACCCAAAGCACTCCTAGGAAAGTAAACAAGTATTTTATGAAATAAGGCTTACAGCCCCTGATGAATTAAAATGTTTCATTCTGTTGTATTTTGTTTTTGAAAACATGTTAACTATGACTTGATAACATGTTTTCGTTGTCCACTAATAGATTATGATCTCAGTTTGAAAAATATTGCTCTATGTAACCGAGCCTCTGCTGAGGTTTACATAGTGTTCATCACTCTCTCCTATTGCAAACAATGAGTTCCTTTCTGTTCATTCTGGGACTATTTCTCAGAGCAAGGTCCCTGGCTGGGTAACTGCTATGGACTTAATATTCCGACAAAATGCGTGCGACGATCCTAGACCACTAAACTCTAATCCTGGCTCAGTCACCAGCATGATGGATGAACTTCGGGCGAGTTCTTACACCTCTCAGGGCCTCAGTTTCCTCTTCAGTAACCTGCCAATCCCTACACCCTGGAGTCTGTCCTCCATGGAGAGTAGATGCCCCACCCCCTGACTCAGCGGCAGCAGCAGACCTTCTCCCCCTTTTCCGCTCCGTTTCTCATTCCTCAGAGGCTGCCCAGGGCGAAGGAAAAAGGCAGGTCCGGGCAGGAGGGCCCAGTGCTGGGCGGGGCTGAGGGAGGTCGGCCCCCAGTAGGAAATGAGGCAGAGTAGGAATAACACTTTAAAAGCCTGATAGCCTCTTCCTCCTGCCATTCCCTGGCCTCTTTCCATCCTCCTCGGCTCAGCCTCCACCCCTCCTAGGCAGCTTTGCCTCTCTGTTCAGGCTCCAGCCAGGAGAGCCTCCAGCCTGTTCAATCAAGAGCCCAGGTAGAAGAATCAAGAACTCCAGCCCCAGTATGTTGACAACACTGCTGCCTTTGCTGCCGCCCCTGCTGCTGCTGCTGCTGCTGCCCGGCTGTGCCCTTTGTAGCCAGGACGCCTCAGAGGGTGAGTTGGGGACAGTCTCCTGCCTGGGGATGGTTCTGTGGACTGTCAGCCTTTCTGGGTACATGAGCGAGGCCAGAGCGGAGCTAACTGCACAGCATCTGTGCCTACGCTGGCTGGATCTGTCTGAAGTGCAGCAGGGCACTAGCTTATGTCCTAAAGCCACCGAGGGGAAGTTCAGTTAAGTATCGGGAAAGAGCCACTCCGTCGCTGGTGGAAACAGACTGGAAAAATGTTTAAACGGACCAGCAGAGGGGGTGAGGGAGCCAGCCTCCGACAGAGGAGGGAAAAGGCGATGAGGTCTGGAGAGGGGGAGCCCAGGAGAAGCGGGGGTCAGGGTAGGTCCAGGGAAGATGGGAAGAGATGCAGGATGAGAAGAGAGCGCGAGGGAACTGGGAGACGGACGGTGGTGGGCCTGGTAGGGGCAGCGCTCCACCCCAGGAGGCACATTATTAGCAAAAGGAAAATTATTGTAACACTTGACTCCGTTTTAACACCACCAAGATTCAAGAACGCCGAAATAGGAATGTTTTTCTCTGTACATCATTTTAAATAGGTTAACATACTCAGCTATGTTGGAGGGTGGCAATTTGAAGGACTGCCCCAAATGGCACAAACTCTACCTGGGCACTCAGAACGGATGAAAGACTTAGGAAAGGCCTGGGGCTGAGACCAGTGAGGTAGAAGGAGAGACCAGGGAAAAACGGGTGCAGTGGGTAAGGTGGAACTGGGGGGAATAAGCTGCGACCAGCAGGGGAGCTCCTAGGAGACCAGGGTGCCTGAAGTGGCCCCATGTAAGCCACTGTAAGGGGAGTTACTGCCCTGGACTATAATTGCATAGTGGCTTCACTCCCCTCTCCCATGAACTCTATAGCTTCAGTTTCCTCCTCAGAGGAGCAAATAATAACCAGTATTCAATGAGCGTTTACTATATTTAATATATGTAATAACTTATCCCTCACGGTACCCCACAATGTGTGTTGTGTTATTATATCCATTTTACAGAGGAGGAAACTGAGTCACAGAAGCTAAGGACCACATCTAAATGTCTAAGGTCTTCACTCAGATATATTTATTCACATTTGCAGAGAGAGAGCAGTTTCTCAAGTGCAACACAGACAAGACGCACAGACACACACGCACACACACACATATACACATACACACATACACACAACGTCGCATCACTCTAACACTATCTAGGTACCAACTCTTGTGCTGGCCCTTTCTGGGTACAGAGGCAAAGGGAGCAAGACCTGGCCCCAGGGCCTGGAAGAGTCCAGTGTAGCCTGTGCGGGTGTTTGGAGACAGTCATTCAGTACCCCACAAAATACATGCTAACACAAAGTGGTCTGGGATCACTGACATAGACGCAAGTGGCTGGGACATCGGGAAAACTGCCCATGAAAGAGCACCTCAGCTGGGTCTTGAAGCATGAAGAGAAAAGTTGTAAGGCAGAACAAGGGAGACAGAGCAACCCTCAGGTACTATTCCTGTGTCAGGCAAAAGTGGGCATGAGGAACCTCAAATAGTTTGATACATTTAAGCACTGGAAAGAGGCCAGAAAATGTAGCTGGAACCAGGTCACTGGCAGCCAGGAATGCCAGGATAAAGACTCTGGGCTTGATCCTGTGGTTAGGTGGATGCTAAGGCGAGACAGGGCAGCAGGCTGGTTAAGGGTACTGGACTCAGCTGCCTGCACTCAAGCCTTGCCTCTACTATCTAATCTTAGCCTCAGTTTCTCATATAGAGTGGGGTTAATAATAGTCGGTATTGCATCAAGCCATGGGGGAATGGCACAAATAGGCTAATAATGTATTCAAGCATAGTCCTCTGGTCATAATAAACACTTAATGAATATTAACTATCATCATCATCATCATCATCATTATTATTATTATTATGGTACTGGGAATTGAACTCAGGACCTCGTATTTGCTAGGCAGGCACTGTGCCACTGAGCTATATGCCCAGCCTTAGCTATTATTTTTTACTGTGATAGGGAATAATATGTCATTGGAGGACTTTAACAGAGGAACAAGATCTTATCCCTGGATCAGGTGTTGATCCAATCGGAAGAGGAGAAACTGAGATATTAGGGTAGAGGATGAGGTAAGAACTTACCCAGTCCAGATGAGAACTGATAAGGCCTGAACTAGGGCCCTGGCAGAGAGATGGGGAGGAGATGGAATTGGAATTTTATTGAGTTCAGGATTTACTGACCAACCATAAATGAGAGAAGGAAAGAAAATAACAGGGAGCAGTGCCTCCTCCCACTGCAGGCCTCAGTTTCCTCCTCAGCAAAACAAAGGAATAATCTCTGTCCTGGCCTCCTGGCAAGGTTATTGTGAGCATCATGTAGGACGCTGGTAGGTGGGGAGACACTTTATAGGGTCGAGAAGGTGGGCGGTGGGCCTCGGGGAGCGCTGGGGTCTCCCAAGCCAGCCGTCCTGACGGGCTGACTCTGCCCCAGGCCCACTGAACTTCCACATGCTCCAGATCGCCTACTACCGCGACCCCTACCACGCCAGGTATTACGGCAACGCGTCCCTAGGGGGACATCTGACACACAGCCTGGAGGGCCCCGCCACCAACATCACGATCCTCCAGCTGCAGCCGGTGGAGGAGCCGGAGAGCTGGGCGCACAGAGAGAGAGACCTGCAGCTCTACCTGCGGCAGTTCCACACCTTCGTGCAGGTGGTGCATAAGGAGCAG